CAACCATTCTGTCCACCACTGTGCAGTGATGGACAGAACGGTTGCGACACTTTTTTTAAAGTGAGTTTAGAAATGCGCATTTAGATTCAGATTTACGTTCCAAAACATTCTCTCTGAGGACAATTTTGCTCGAGAAATAGAACGGACTCACTCAAAATGGTTTCGAAATGGCTATCGAATAAAATATTCCTTGGAGAAGAAGATAACCCTTGATCTAAACGCACGTTCCTAAACTCACTTAAAAAAAAAAGTGTCGCATCCATTCTGTCCACCATTGTGCAGTGGTGGACAGAACAGTTGCGGCACTTTTTTTTGAAGTGAGTTTAGGAATGCGCATTTAGATTCAGGTTTACGTTCCGAAACATTTTCTCTGAGGACAATTTTGCTCGAGAAATAGAACGGTAACGCTCAATATGGTTTCGGAAAGACCATCGAATAAATTATTCCTCGGAGAAGAAGAAGGTAATCCTGGATCTAAATGCACGTTCCTAAACTCACTAAGAAAATGTGTCGCAATTCTGTCCATCACTGTACAAGAATTAGTGTGGATTATTTTGTGACAAAAATTTCCTAACAGCTTAAGGTAGTTAGGTGAAAAATGATGAAGTTACAGATTTTTAGCAGTACTAATTTAGGTTTGATTTACCCTATTGTTTTCGAGATATAATCACTTAAAATTAACTATTTTTAACATTTCGCTTATCGCCATTAGTTGCTGAGGTATAAAATCCGAAACACTTGGACATGCATTTGTCAATAGCAAAAAATCTATAATAAGGATTGAAACAAAAAATCGAGCAAAAGCAGCTGAATGTTTGAAGAAGTGTATGTTGAAATTTCAACGACGCTGACCGTGCGATATTAGAGTATGATAAATCCAAAGAAAAATTTTCTTTACGTTTTTGCTTCTGCTTTAACACTTTTTTTTAACAAAACGCCCTCTATATCGTAACTGATTTTCCATTATGATAATTAAAATATATTTTCACGATTTATCGCATTCACGATGAAATGCGACGTTCCCGCACGATCAACGCTCTGCTAACACTACGTAATACAGAATACTATTTTATTTTCTATAACTCTTTTTTATTTTATCGATCTTTAATATTCTAAGAGAAGCGAAAGTGTTTAAAAATCTGTTCTTGAATTTAATATAAAAGAATTCATCGTCTATTGAACTTTATTGACCAAGTCTCATTTTGACTAGAATAGTTGGGAAAGAACTACCTTAATAAATAATATGTAAATGAGAAATAGATAGTATATTAATGTTCTAATTTTTCTAGTCAAGTAATTGTTGAACGTCGCAAAGTGTCGTAGTAAATCGTTGATTATTTGAAAAGAAAATCGTGCGAATTCACCAGAAACACTCGTGGGCATCTAAGCGTGAAAAGAGTGGAAAGCTGAAAATCAACGTTCACAATTGCCCGTTTACGTTTTCGAAATTGTTTTATATGTAGGTCCGCGTCGAGAGGTCATTTATACAGGCTCGCTCATGCATAATTATCAGTTTCATTCGGTATGAAATACGCTCGCTGATTGCCATGAGAAATAAATGAAAGTCATCTTGTTTCGCGCAGCGGCGCATTGACGCCGCGCCCGCGATTCATTCGCGATGAAAAATCGGCCGACATTATTCGCGTTATTGCCGCCGTGAATATTGGCAGTCGAGATGGAGAGGTCGGGGCTCGCCGCGACAATACGGCGTGCCGGCCAGCGCTCGGTCGGAGAAAATGGCGGAAATATAAAGCTCTAATGGCTTTTGGCGGGTCCGGGTGTATCGATTCTCCGTGGCGGCTCCGCGCATTAATCGATCGTAAATGTTGCATAAATACTTGCGCGACCGCCGCGAATCCGCCGAATAGTTCCGCGCGGAATAACGCCGGCCTCGCTGGAATTCAATTCATTTCAACAGGTCACATATAATTCAATTTAAACGCCCGTAGTCCGACGGCGGCGTTGTTTTTACTGGCGAATCAACACGTTTCATGTCGCGGCGACATCGCGGGGTATACACTGCGCGATTACAATACCCCGCGCGAGGCGTCTCGACGAACGTTTTTCGCCGTTCGATTAATTAACGTTTTAATTAATCCGCGCGTTTCGCAGCTTCTTAAAAGGTCGCGCCGCTTACGTTAAGCGAGTCTAGACACGGATTATCGCAAATATAATGGCAACGTTGTAATCGCGATTCATTGTACTCAACGGACAACATTATCTTCCTTATTTCCCCATTTATTGCGCTACACGCGATAAAGTGAGCGACAATATTTGCGTGCGACAAAGCGGCCGTCAAAGTCGCGCTAATTGGAAGTGCAAGCATATTAAACGTGTGCCGTTGATCGCGCGCTAACGCGATTAGCGTTATCCAGGATTTTGGGCGGACCAAACAAATAGGCGCATACATATTGACACGTAGGCAGAAGGGCATTAGCGCATTCTCGGGATGTTTTGAATATTCAAATGCACACGCGGACGGTGCGAAAACAAAAGCTCCGGCCGTCGTTAAGCGGTCGAAAGTGTTTGCGCGCGGCAGCTTGGAAATTGCGAGCATTATCGCGCGGCTCGATCCCGCGGCGCTCTCGCATTCTCGAGAGGATCGATACGAAGGCTACAATTAACTGGATATAGTCGCGCGCCGGCAACCGACAGATATTTCACTGACTGGCGCAAAATATTTCGCTGGCTCGACCCTTTTTTTTCCCATTCCGCGTCTCTCGCCCGGCCGCTCGCGCGAATTTCAGCTCGTCGCACGAGGTGGAATTCAGTCGCCGCGCGGTAATTTTTCAAAAATTATCCGTCCGCTTCATTAAGAACAACCAGCGCCGCGAATGGGCGTAAACCGGCGGAGGTTTTTTTCGAAATAATGAAAAAACGCCGCGCCGCTTCTCCGCGGTACAAACTTTTTCCGCCGTGAGTGGTCGAGAGACGTTGCCGTTAACTTTTTACCAAATGGATATGGATTTTCGATACGGAATGTATTTTAAAAACAAATTCAATTATTCAACGTGGCACCTTCGAGATCGCTAATTTAAGCTAGTTACAAAGTAGGAGCGAAAATGACGGATGCACATTTTTCCATCTTATCTTTTCCACCTATTTTCCATCTCCCAGCGCAATTTTCGAAAATAGAGCACTATCTCGAAGGTACATGCAACGACAAAGTAGAAAAAAGTAATAAAAAGTTGAATCTGCGATTTATATAAACGATGAATTGTCACCAAACTTCTGTAAGCTCTGGGCTACAACAAAAAAGTACATCACAAGTCGTCGTTCGCTATAAAATAAACTTAACTTTTTTTATTCTCGTCTTAATTGAAACTTTTCCATTTAAATCTTTATCAAAGATTTACTGAAATACTTGGAATACATCTAAGGTCAACTTATCATTTTTTATCAATTCTTTTTTAGAAAAAGTACAACATATTTTAATTTATATAGACAAATATATATTTATATTATAGAATAATCTCTATAAAAAATAAAATATTTTTGTTTAACTGAACTAAAATATATTTAGAAACAAATTTATCAATTTTTTCGATTACTTTGTAGTTATGTGTGTGTTACGATATAATATTTAATCTTTGTATTAATGCAATTCAATTGTGACAAATAAAATAAATGTATTGATATATATTAATGTTGTTATGTCATTAAAAGAAATTAATTACGCGTTTTAAAAATAATTTATCTTTCTCTCTCTTTTATTTTAAAATTGTATTACGTGGTTTCCACGGCAAAAGTTCAGTTTAATAACAATATTTTATTTTTTACGGATTATTCTATAATTGAAACTTATTGATGTCTGAATGATTGCAATAAGATGTAATCGAATTCAAATTAGTTTAAAAAGTCATTTAAAAAATCGTTGAAAGGATAAGCGCTGCAATATCTTGGTACATCCTTTTTCCCTTTAATGTAGTCTAAACTATCTTAACATGGAAAAAGATTGCGTTGAAGCACAAAATTTAAATTTATTTAGCATCTATCTAGTATTCATGAGAAAATAATCACCGGAAGTGGGGATTTTGTAGATTTGAAACTTCACAAATGAGAAGCCGCATTTTCTGATGTCATATTTTCTTCCATACTAAATGGCCCTGAAATATTTTTCCCCGTTAATGTAAATAGTTTATTAGCGTCGCGTTGTGAAGTCAATTGCGTTACAAAATGAATAACTCTATTATATTGTACATTTAGTTTTCAAGCTCATTGTTAGCCAGCAATGAATGCGCATGAAAATTCTTCGATTTCCTGTACATTTTTAATTCTACAGTAGTCGGCCACGTATATTACGTTACGTATACCTTCTCATTTTCAATACAGGAAATTCAATAACTTCGTATTGTGCAATATTTCAGGAAAAAAATATTACCTAAAATTTATTCAATTCGGACAGAAATACGTTTCTAGCCAAGATGCGGTCAATTTTTCACTCTTTCTAGAACGAAGTTATAATATTATCATCTTTTATTTTATTGTCTTGTCAGGATGCAAAGTAATTTTGTAAACTTATAACTGCAACGGACGTGATTATTTAGAGATAGCTTGATCAAGAAAATAGCTGCTAGAAATAAGAGTTGTACTAACGAAAGGCGAAAACGTTACGTGTTATTTTTGTAGATATTAAACGATTCCATTCTTTCAGGTGCCAACACAGCCGTTAAATTGTAAAATAGATGAACTTTCATCATACAAGACACACACTGCGATACGTTATTATACATAATACATTATATTTTAGTGTATTCATAAACGTGAACTTTATCGCTAAAATAACGGAGCGATTATGTATTAGAACTTTTTCGGGTTAAGAATATTGTGGTATCAATCTCGCGCCCGCACGAGACGAGCCCGCGGCTCCTTTTTGCAGCTAATATCGACCGTAAAACAAAAGTTAGATCGGTATATCATACCACTTACGTAAGTTACCGGGGAGTCTATAAATCCAAAGAAGGTTGGGGGGAGGGAGGAGGCGAATAAAAACGGCTCACCTTGGAAAGCAGCCTCGAAGGTGGTCTTCTCCTCCACGGGGTTCTGGGCGAGCACCGGAACGACCGACAGGTATCCCAAGATGACGAAGAGCCGGCAGACGTGGCGTAGTCCAGCCATTGTCCAGCGATAAACATGCACGTCGCTGGGGTCGATAAGTCCTTACTGTCGCATGCTCCAGCGGAACCTGTCGATCACTACGCAGCACACGCGAGACACTCTCTTTCTCTCTCTCTCTCTCTATCTCTCGATCTGCCGACTCACTAATTACTCGCGACTACTAGCACCAGGCGATTCGAGACGCACCGGTCCGAGACACTCGTCACAACGCGGTAAACCGATGCTGCGACAACCGATCACATGAACCCCGCTGATCTCCTCTGTGAACCAAATGAACCAAAGAGCCAATAAGTGAAACAGAAAAGAATCCACATCCCGACGAAAAGGGTGTACGAGTCGTCAGGATGATTTTCGTTAAATTTCAAACCGGCGCTACGCCTTGAATATTTTACTAAGTAATTACGCATACGATCAACGCAGCCTTGCAAGAATTTTTGCAAGAGCAAAGCGTCGATTAAACGTACGATGTCAAGCCCGGCGCGAAAGTTTCGGTGCTGAGGGAAGGAGAAGAGGATGTCGCTAGAAGATTGTAGAAGCTTGTAATAATGCTAGCGTCTTGTAAAAGATGAATTCAGCCGGCCGGCGCGACGACGATCGCGAGTACCGTTCGTAGTTCCGCAAAAGTGAATCGACGCAGGTCGATTCAGTTGCAAATGGCGTGTACGTAACAAAGTATCCGCGGCGTTTACTATTCTCGTTATATCATGGCAAATGATAGGTCTCTATTTTCGCACGATACCCGATGCAAATTTACTTGACACCGTATGCATATCAATGCGGGCATGCATATTTCCCGCGGGCTCGCACAAAGGGAGTTGTTTTCGCCTCGCTCTCGGTCTCTATCTCCGACTCGCGCTCTCTTTCTCTCTTTTTTTCTCTCCTTTTCCCCGTTTTCGAAATTCGCGGAGCGTAGAGACAGAGGGTACAATCGGCGCGTCCCGGCGCAAGAACTCCCGAGACGCGGCCGACCCCGGCGGCCCGGGTTCACGAGGGATGAAATCGGTATCGATCGCGATTTTTAGGACCGTTTGACTCGACGACGACTAGATTCTTCATTGATCTCGTAAGGAGATCCGCATAATTCCTTGTCGATATCTCATCGACGTACGTACAGTCGACAACCATTAGATGTATACATATATCAATTTGATGTAAAGAAGATATCGCGTCGGTGTCGAACAATTATTGATGACTTAGTTGATATCTGGTAGATGTCATATCGAAGTCGAGTCGATGGAGATGTTGATTCGACTTCGGTATGACATCAATTGAAATATGACCAGATCGCGGACATCTACAGAAAATTTTCTAGACATCATGAAATCTTGTAAATATCAACTCGAGTATCGATTTGCACATGGTCTCAACTTGATTTCAACCACTCTCTAAAAGTCAATCGGTGCATTATCACTGAATATTCACTGTTTTCAGTGATAACCCACTGATTGACTTTTAGAGAGCAGATTCTTCATCGACTTATGAACCCGGGAAGATGTTCGCACGGCGGACAATGCAAGGCGAATTGCCGCGAGAGCCGAATTAACGCCCTTAGAATTAGGTTTTTAGCTTATCGCCGGGGCTCGCGTCGCGGGCTTTGGCGCCGCCAGATGCAAACGTTACGTGAATATGCAAGACGCCGCGCCGCTGCCGCGTCCGAGTACGCAGCTGCCGGGGAAAAAAGTCAACCGTACACCGTGGTTAAAATTAAATTTTCGAGGTATTGTCGGAGCACGTGACTTCGTTACGCGAAACAACGTACGAGATAAGTTAATATCGCGCGTAAACCTCGTCTCATCGACTATGTCAATTTGGATAGCTAGTTTGAAGCGATAAATTTGCTAAATGGCGAATAACATCGCCGTTATTCGCTCCTTGTTTAAATTTTTCTGCCCCCTTTTACCGCGGAACGTTTTATCTCGATTAGAAAGAGCTCCCCGTAATTTAACAATTGAAAGGAAAACGAAAGGTCTCTCACGTATCCTCTCGATGGAAGCGCGTTACTTTCGGGACTCGCGAAATAAACTCGAGTGATTAAAGTTTAAAAAAAAAGTGCCCGCGGAGACCGTCGCGGGCTCATAAAATTCTCAGGGAAGTTAAAGGGATCGATCCGTCGCTTGTATCGGCCGGGCCGCATCGGAGATTTCGACGAGGATCGAGGTAAACGCGAAGCCTCGATATCGACTGTCGTGGCCGATAGTTGACGTTTCGGCTTAAGTCACCGGCTGGTGTCACGAAGTTGCGGCAGATAAGATTACCCGGGCAGAGCCTCGTGGCCGAAATTTCCATCCCCGGGTAGCGCGATGTAAGCTGCACGACAGTCGACGGGCAAAACGCATCGGGTTTACATCTATCGCATTACGACCCGATGTCTCGCGGATATCGGATGCGACTCATATTTTACGTGTCGTCTTCCTCTCAAGTATGTCGTTGGGAATTCAATTTTTTCACTGCTAACTCTTGAGAAAAAAAAACGTCGAATCTTTCTTCAACAACCGCGACCGCGGTAAGGAGATGTTTTAACTCTACGAGGGGGACGCGCGAAAAATTTGCGGCTCGTCTCCTAATCTCGTCGAATCGACTCAATTGAATCGATTACCTCGTCGAGATAATACGAGACGTAAAAATAAGTTGAGTTAAATTTCGCGCCAACTTGTGCGGCTGCGAAAGCCACGTACGTTGAGCGGCGTATTAGAAGTATTGGTATAAACGTTTGAAAAATGCGGTTTGATTACTGAACCAACCGTTTGCCATCCCGTTTGCGAGTAATAGAAAATTTCACGAAAATATCCGCCGCCCAGAGAAGTAAATCAATTTAACAAATTGCCGACAGAAAAATGTTACTCTGGCGTACCTATACGTTTTGCAGAAAACTAAACTCGCGTATGTTTTTTTTAACAAAGTTTAAAATATAACATACTTAGCATAGCAATGTAATTTAATTTCTTTTGTATACTTGACAAATATTTGTCAATTGTGCATTGAACAAATTATATCTTGCAGCACATAGGTTGCTCCCCCCCTCTCTCTCTTTCTTGCTTTTATTATTATTACATTTTATTGATTGATTGATGAAAATTTATTAATGGTTTACTCTGCATTGTATTACCAGCATGTATCTTTATCTGTAACAAACTATGACAGGCTAAATTAGCAATCGCAAATTTATATATAATTTAATGTCCGACGCTATATACGTGTATGCTATGTACATGTAGACTTTACATAAACTACAAAATAACGTGCGAAATTAAATCGACAATTTTCTGCCGCAGACTAATATCATATTTAATAATCAAGCGTCGAATATTGCAAGCTTAAACGTGGAATATAACAAAAGTCGTCGCGATAATTAAATATGACAATCAATAATTAAAGGGCTTTCTCCGGCGCGAATTAACATTTGTTTCCACGGGGAAGAAATTCGACGCGTTCGTATGCTGCAATCTAGAATCTCCTTGAAAGTGAGCTACATTAAATTGAGTTACACGTCAATTATCGTATTTTAATCCCGCTATCTTAACATACCTCCTCGCGATCGGTTTTAATTATATTTCCTCTCACACTCGAGCGACTCTTCGTACGTTTCGCGAGAAGCGCGCGCCGCGCGGCATCGAATATAATCAATTTAAACGTTTTGCAATATATAATATTAATATACTGCCGTTCAACACGTAAGTTCAATAATTAGGCGTGAGGCATGCGGGAGCGACTGGCAGCTCTACCGCGGCTCTTAATAATTCAGCGTTTCCGCCAACACAGCTTGTCGAAAATTTCGGGGGGGGGGAGCTTTTTTCGCGCGATACGTTTCGGAACGCGGTAAAATACAATGTGACAAAGGGAGAATCAAGTTGCGCTATTGTGCCATTACCCGGCGGCTCGGTATAACACAAACAGATTTTAACCCTTAACAAACTAACGTTCAGTATCATTCGATACGCGGCTTAAAGCTGCTCCGCATCACAGCTCGATTACAGCGAGTTCGCGGACCCTAAATTTCCCAATTGTCCGCGTAATATCGAAATCGTGCCCGCAGCAACGACGCAAATCACTCGCGCATGTTAAATCACTGCTCGCACTAAGAAATTGTTAATCCTCGGTAAAGACTGGAAGGTAACGTTCCGGAACAGTCGGCGAGATCGCATTGAAACCGATATAACAGTGACAAAAGTGATACCGATCGATCAGTTCTTCAACCCCCAGTTGACGGAAATTCCGACCGAAGGGGCGTTTTGTAGTCGAGGATTCCCTTCGCGCGATTAAAAAAAAAAACTATCGATCCGCGGCGGAAAATTTGCTCGACACGCAATCGGAGCTTGCGGGATTGACGGAAAGCCCGTTAAATTGAAACATTACTTTTCCGCGGGTCGGCACATTTAATGCCGCAACGGTAGCGTGTAGCGTCCGCTAACGATTACCGAATAATCTACACGGCCGAGCGTGAAATTCGTCCCTCCGAGAAAGATCGGCCGTGCGGCGCAGCAGTCCGTGGCGCACGAGCAACAAGCAAGCCGACCTCGAGCGAAGCGGTAATCTACGCCCTCGCGGTAGGGCCGATTAACCCGAGTCGAGAGTCATACGTGACAGGTTTTTGATCGATAGGAGGCCCCGGAGTCATCCGTTCGCGCGCTCGCTCGAGCGAGTACGCGTCTGCGGTGCGTGCGTGCGTGCGTGCACGCTCGCTCGCGGACACACGCAGCTTATCGAGCGATCGCGCGCCGCGGGCCGAAGGGCGCGCGAATCAATAAGAGAAAAAGCGTCGCTTCCGCGAGGGTTGCCCTTCGCCTCGGGGAAAGGCAGTCCGCGCTGCGCGCCGCGTCGCCGCGACGCCGCGCGAATCCGGACGCGGCCGCCGAGACTCCGCCGAACCCCCGGTTTTCCCGTACGCTTCTCGCGGCGGCGGCGGCAGCGGCAGCGTCGGCGGCGGCGGCGGCCCCCGCGCCGCGTCGACCCCCGTGGACGTTTTCGCGTCGCGACGCCTCGCGTCGCGTCGCCTCGCGCACCGCGCCGGCGGAAACCTCCGGCGGTTTTTTCCCCGTACCTGTCGCACGACGCGGCCTCCTCTCGCCGCAGCCGGGGCTTTCTCCTCTTTGCACTCCCTTTTTACCTCTCCACCTCAACGCGAACGGGGGACGCACACGGACGAACGCACACACGCGTCGCGGAGCGTCGCGACGGCCGTCGGTACCGGCCGGTGTCTCCAATCGAACTGCGGGGGTAGTTCGACGGTGGC